AGACAAGGCCACCAGAGGGATACACATCCAACAAGCGGGGTAGCAAACAAACATGCGCAGGCTACATGGACGTAAGGTTTTCAGAAAGCAAAAAAAGTCGATTTGAAAATGACGTACTTGCAATAAATGAGTCAGGAGGTGGCAGGAGGTGAGCCGGAGCAAGAGAAAGAGAGAAGGAAGGGTGGGTGAGGAGAGGGCAAGAGAGGACGTACAGGCGAGTGAAAAGCTGAGTCGAGGGGGCGGGGGTCTCAGCAGAAGGAGCGGGGACAGGAAGAGAGATAGCGGCGCCGGAGCGCGACCTGCCCGTCGGCCGTCGGGGGTGCGCTGAGGCCGGTGCTGAGGCCGGTGCTGAGGCCGGGCGTAGCAGCCCGTATTAGCAGGCAGTAGCAGCCGCCCGCCTCCTCGACCTCCTCATCTTCCTCCTCCCGGCGGCCACCAGAAGCCTTTATGCAATCCCCAAATGAAATGATCCTGCAAGTAAATTTGCGCGCGCCACGGCCGGTTAAGCCTCGCCACGCCGCCTTGGCCACGCCGCCGCCATGCGCCTTCTGCCCCTCCGCGAAATGTATAATTTCCTTGGTCCTAATCGCCTTTACTCTGCATTACCCCGGCGGCCTCATCCCCCCGCCCCCTCTCCAACCACCCCCAGGTGCCTGGCTGCGCGGGATTACCCCCCAGCACCGCGCCGACAGTATCGCGATGACGCGTCGCCACGCTGGATTCGCGCGCGTTCGAGTTATGGCCCCCGGCGCAGTGTGAAAGACTCGTAAGCCCGTATGACACGTGAAATAAATTCCCAGTGGGACGGGCGTTCTGCTCCCGCACCGCGCGCTGCTGCCGCCGCGGTGCCGTCCCCTCCGCGTCACCCGCAATGCATCGCGCGCGTAAGCCCGCCCGAGCCGCCCACTCCAAATGGGAATCCGATGACTCGGCCGTTTTAAGTGTAGCGTCGCTTATCCCGATGGGGGAGAGAAGGGGCGGCTCAAGTGCGCTCAAACTGGTTGGCGACGGGCGTCCGGGAGGCGAACCTGCGAGGTGCAAAAGGGAGCCCTCGCGTGGGGACCGGTGGGGGAGAGAGGACGGGGATGAGGGGCGTAACTCAGTCTCTACGGCCACCCTCCGGGACCACAACTGGGGTCACCCTATGGAGCTATCTTCTTATGGGGCCACCCTATGCAACTCAACGAGGCTACCCTACAAGGCCACCCTACGCGAGACTACCGTACGAGCCCACCCTGTGGCTGTGGGGCCACACTGAGAGGCTACCCTGTGGGGTCACCCTGCAGGGCCACCCTGTGGGGCCACCCTGTGGGTCCACCCTGTGGGTCCACCCTGTGGGTCCACCCTGTGGGTCCACCCTGTGGGGCCCCCCTGTGGGTCCACCCTGTGGGGCCACCCTGTGGGGCCACTCCGGGCTGGGCGCCACGCGCCGTGCAGAGATAGGCATCGCCCAGCCATTCGTGCTTTCGCAATTCACCCTGCATCCCCCCCACATCCGCCCAGTGTTAGCATTTTAATTGGGCGGACTTTGACGGGGCATTAATGCGCAAGGGCCGCTGCCGCCGCTACCACCGCCACTGCCGCGGCTGCTGCCGCTGTCCCCGCGAGCAGCGCGCGGCGCACGATGGGCTGCCGACCCGCCGGGCGCGCCACCAGACTAAATGACCGCGAGGCGGCTGAAGAAAGGAGAAGAATTTGCGCGCGAAATGCTGGCGCGGAGCGTGAGAAAAAAATACAAAGAATGAAAAAATAAATAAAGAGCGTCAATTTGCCCGCTACTCGTGGACTCGAGTCGGGCGACGCTTCCCGCCACTGGACTGCCTGTACAGAGGAGAATTAGGCTCGAGCCACACGCGTGGCGGCGCTGGCCGGCCGGCACCGAGCCGAGCCTCCAACCCATCCCCTAGCACGCCCCCTCCCCCTCCGGCTCGCGGAAAACGATTTGCACATTGAGTAATGCAAAATAAAAAGGAATGCCGCGGATTCCGATTGAGCTGAGCGGCGCAGAGTGGGCGTGGAGTGCCGCAAGGCGCGAGGGGCTGTTGATGGTGTGGGCCGCGCTGTGGTCCCCACCCCAGCCGGGGCCCGGGGGGGCCACAGGCAGCCGAAGGCCCCTTTATGGACACTCTCTGCTCCATGCCGCCGCCGGGAGGAGCGGCCGCCCTGGGTGAGATGCCCATTTCCCGGGGGATTGGCGCCCACAAGCCGCGGCCGTCGCCCCCAGGTCGCCCCCAGGTCGCCCCAACGGCGCATCACGGATGCAAGACCAAAGGAGGCCGTCCATTCCACTTCCGCGCCGTCAAGGTGACACTTATTCGGCCGCGCGGATGGAGCCGGCGGGACGGGGCAGGGCGCCAGGCGCCACACAAGGTCCAGGAGGGATGAGTGGCGATGCACCACTGTTGGGTCGCATTCACACAGGAGTTTTAATTGCAGCTGAAATTGGTCATCCTTCGGGCGGCTCACTAGAAACACCAGGTGGCGATCTCTCCTCCTCACTTTCATGGTACGTCAGCACGGGACAGGCGGCAGTACGTCGGTTGCGCCCAGAACACGCATGGCGACAGTTTTAAGTGGACACCACGGCAACGTTATGTCCAAACTTTTACAGACGGTTAAATCGCCTCGAGTCGGTTATGACACAGACACATTGTCACGAGCACAAATTTACATTCGTCACCAAGCGTGGCCCAAGGAGGTGACGTGTACGTCACACGGGTTATGCATTTCCCTACAAAGTTCCTCTTCCCTGGCCACTGCGGATGCTTCGCGGTGTCACGAGGCAACGCGACGCGACACCCTGGCGCGACGCCATGGCGGCCTGCGCCGTGTTGTGCGAGCCGGCTACCCGCACCCTCCCGCCGTGTGCAAACGGGTCTGCACATCTCTGAAACCAGCAGCCGCAGCCCCAGGGGAGCAAGGGGCGGTACGGGCGGTACCAACCGGACACCGCTGTTACTAAGTTGTCTCCATATTACTACTGCAGCTAAGTGTACCCCCCCCCCACACATACACACAAACCAAATTAATTTTCACTGCTTCAGTGTACCATCTGAAAAACGCCACTGCTGCCTATTCTGAGGGTGTCTTTTTTAAACGTGTAGCTTTTCCACCCCATATCATTTTATTGAGAAAGGAGAACACGTTAAAAGCTCTTTTATGTCTCGCGAGCCACATACAGCTCCGGCCTGATCGTCCGCCATTCTCTCTCCCCCTTGTAGCCCCAGGGGGATGCACCAGCCGAAGATCAGCCCGCGTTGTAGCGTGCAAAAGGCCTTGATACACAGTTCAATGATACGGTTTCGGTACTGATTTAAATTCGCACGAATACCCATATGAGCCAGATGAAATATTTGAAGGTAGATTTTTAACATTTTCATGCAGCGAAATCGAGACACTACACTCTAAATGTCTAAGGACAATTTTTGTAACTAGCACCGGACTTCTGTGTGCATAACTAGCTCAGATACAATATTGTAACTACCAACACACATTTAGTGACTAGCAAGTCACAATATAGTATCTGATTCCAGTTATGCACGCAGAAGTCCGGTGCTAGTTACAAAAATTGTCCTTGACATTTAGAGTGTACTCGGGGTATTTATTTTGTGGGAGTGTAAAGGGTGGTGCCGTTTCGTCTGAGGAACCGCCTGACAGCCGACGGCCATCGCGCGGTTCCTCTAATCTCTGCTCTAAAAGGAGATGGACCATTCTCCCTAAACGTGTTGGTATCTCTGCCGGGTGGCGGCTGGCCGAGCACGCAGGGCGCAGCCTAATGCTGGGGGTCACGGCCTCCCCGCCGGATCCCTCCGAATCCCTTCCGGTCGCGTGTCCCTGCCCGTTACAGTGGCCGCACCCTCTCCTAGACAGCGCCCCAACCGCTTCCCCTCCCTTTCTGTTTTTGCTGTTCGTTTTACTGCACGGCACTGCCCTGCGAACCCACAGCATTTGAACCACAACTGGTGGCACTATCGCAGGTGACGCCAAGCTTACAGTAAAATACGGGGTTGGCTAGCGTTTGATCTTTCTAAAGAATGCCACCGTTAAGTAACTCACTCTTAAAAATTACAGAATTTCACGAAGACTTTGTTGTAAAAAAACCCTGCAGGAACTCCGTGATTTTTGTTTT